GGTCACCGAGGCACGGCACTGACCAAATGAGTAGCCGATTTGACGGTCCTTTGTGTTTGCAGTTTGCAACAAATGCAACCAGCAGACGATGTATTGGCTGGCATGACTTGAGCGTGACGTGGCAGCAAGATGGCTTACTCTTGCAGGCGTTGGATGAGGAGCGTACTCAGGCAGGGCACTGCTGGCTCTCCTGCCATGCAACCATGAAAAGCTTTCAGCCTTACAGCAGAGCTGGAATCGGCAGCTCCCATGAGCGCGTCAAATGACCTGCCATGCACTTGCTGTATACCCCCACTCCACGACATGAGCTTATTCAGTCTGAATAGGAAGTATTTGCCAGTAGACTGTTTGGCCCACGAGCCACGATCCGCAGGAGGACATGTGGCAAGCTAGCTACTCCCAAGCTCGGATCTCAGACTTCTAGACACATTTGTGTTTAAATGGGGAACCGCCAATGTGGGTGGGTTCCGCTTGGTTTCCCTTTCACCACAATGCCACCAGACAACCCCCCTAAAAAACAGCACCTATTTGAGCGGCGTTTAAAGCAGTAGGGAGAGGGGCATTATTCTTGAAATGCGGAAGGCTTCGCGGAAGGGAGTTCTTTCGCGGAAGGTTTGCAGAAGCTTGTGGTTTGATATGAACTGTTTCGGTTTGATCGAATTGAAAAGCACGGAGAAACGATTACAGTAGAAGCAGACAGGGGTTTCTGAGTAAAATAAGCTTGCAACGCTTGCAAGCCAAGAGGACCAAAACAGCCGGCGGACATCGTAGCGTTGCACCAGCGGCGCAACATTGACTTGCCTTCCTTGCAAAAGCAGCCTTTCTTTTCTGCGCCAACACCCGCAGAAGCAAATCTTGCAAAACATGCCGCGGAAGGTTGGCGGAAGCAAACGATGAAAAGCATGTGCCGCGGAAGTCCGCGGAAGGGACCTCTTGGTCCGCGGCAATGATGCGGAAGGGTCCGCGGAAGCTTGAATAATCTCGAATCAAGTTTAAGGGGAATAAGCACCAGCGCTCATTTGAGTTGATACGTTGACGGTCTATTTTTTGTCGGCAGGCCTTGCTTGGAAGCGTGGATGCCAGTTGGTGTGGTCTTCAGCACTGACATCTGGCTCTGGGTCCCAAGTACCTTTGCTAGACGTGCCAAAACGAAGGACCCAGAAATGCCCAAGCCGAGGTCCCCCGCATCTTTTTTCAAACGACCCTCCAGCCCTCTGAGGACTCCTTCCACACCGCGTCGCCTAAGACCATGAACCGGAGCTCCCGAAGTTTGCCGTGGCCCAAAGGAGGGCTGGCGATGCTCGAAACGGCGAACTTCTTGCGCGAGATTTGCATATTGACTGCGACTTGCTTGGAGGCCGCCGGTGTTTTTTTTTCTTCTTGGGGGGGGTATCGGCAGCCAATGGGCCTTTGGCGAAGCAGAGAAGAGTTGCCATGATTTGCAAGCCAAGGACTTTGGCTCGTTTGGCTTTTGTGCAAACTTCTAGGGGTTGATTCCCAAGTCTTTTCAACCATCGTTCCTTTAAAAAAAACAATCAGCAGTTTTCCTGGGTTTTTTGGTGGTTTTCTGGAAAGAAGGATCCCTGGAAAGAATGGGGAAGCAACCCTTAGAAAACTGAACTGAGGCCCGGAGGGGCCTCGACGTTCTCCTCGCGCGATGACATTAAGAGCCGCTTGCAGTTCTCCAGCATGACGGATGGTGGGGCCGCCGCCCCAGCACCTGGCTGTTGGTCTGCGGAACCCCCCGCATGTCACACGCCCAACTCGGCTGACGGCATGTTATGATGGCTGAATCGAAGCATTTGTCGCTGCGACTTTGGAGTGAACCCACTGGTCAGTGAGCCTGTCCGTCTGTCTGTGTTTGGACGGTCCCAATCGGTTTGGAAGAACTGGCTGCCCTTTCCGCGGGAACTTGCTTGGTGCTCATGTTGCGGAATAGGCAATTTATATCATACTATGAGGCTCGGTCAAGGCATCCAGTAGCGCACATTGGGGAATTCACTACATTCCCCACAAAAGACTAGGGCGCACATTTTTCTCCGGGAGTTCTTGTTGTTTTTACACCACATGCTTTGACGGTGGCTATGCGTTCTTTGGAAGAGGTGAAGAAGGGGCCCACCTTCATGCACGTGGCCTCAAACCACAAGACGGGAGCAAGGCGAGCGCCGAGCGCCATTGCCAGGGTGTGTTGAGACCGTTGCCCGGAGAGTGCCTCACGGACGAATGTGGGGGCTGTCCCAAAATCGGATCAATAGTGCTGACCCCGCATGAATACAAGGGGGTGCATTGTGTTCCGTGCACAATGCAGGGTGGCGGTGGCGCTGTGGCTATCATAATCCATATTCTTCCAGTGGGGGGGGGGTGCCACTGCGCTGCAAATGCTGACTTTGGCCCACCCGCAGGTCCAAACATTTGTTGGTGTTCGGATATGGAGCTCGGCATGGAGCTCTATTTTCTAAGGGAACACAGAAGAAAAACAGTTTTTTTGCAGTGGCACCACCGACCATCAGCATGCTATTGATCAGGTAACCCTTAGTTGGTGGTTTGGGGATTTGCACCCGTGGATTTTGTAGAGGGTCAATGGCAAACTCTTCCATTTCACCAGATGATCGTGCTCCAAACCACCAGTTCGCACTTCTTAGACGTGTCGCATGGATGTGAGCCAAAGCGCCAGGTGGACCTTTGGGCAGAAGGGGCCTGGCTGGCCGAAGATTGAGCAGGGTTGTCCTAAAATTGGGACCCTGTTTGGAACAGTGCTGAAGTGGAAACGACAAGTCTACAAATAAGCATTTGTGGGGTCCTCGATTTTGGGGAAATATCAAGATGGGTTGGAACTGAGAGGGTGGGGTTCAGCTTCGCTCATAGGAAACCTTGAGCTCAAGACATGCTCAGCTTCCTGCACTCGCCACTCGACTTGACTCGGCTTGTCGCTATGCGGTTCCCTTTTGTCACCGCGTGTGTCTCAGTTGTTTGGAGAGCTACTTGCAGCAACTGGGGTACTTAATGTTGACCCCAGACCAATCAACCCCTGTTTATAGATATGGGGTTGTTCATAGATATGGGGGTGTTCCCCTCCAAAAGTGGTCGGATTCTCCACTAAACCCAGGGACACCCCCCTTAGTACTAAACAGGGGCTTATTAATCCGGGGTCAACATTATTCAGTTTTACTGCCAGGCCCAGCACCTTCTTCAGCAGTAGTTGTTCTCCAGCCCCTGGCGCCTACAATCTGCTGGGAGCCCGGTCAGGATGAGCCATACTTCGAGGAAGCGACAATTACAACAGTTACACTGAACCCATATTGTATCACTGACTGGCTTTGTTGGACCTGAGATACACAGCATGCCCCATGAGCCAGCATGGCAACAAACCCGCAACTACCACACAGCAAATCTCATAAATTTCCGCAACGGATCTTGTTGGGGGTCTCATGCTCATGCAGTTGAGCGAGTACAAGGTATTTTAGAATAGGGTTAAGCCTTCAGGGCTGGTGTAGGGTGGGCGCAGATGCAAAGCCAACCAAAAGAGGCAAAAGCCATGAGCCGCAGGCGCCGACAGAGCACAAGCCAAAACAAGGCTCAAGTATTGACCTGCATTCCAAGCCCTTCAAAGTACGAACACCTTTCGACGGTGGTTTGGGTTCAAAATCTGATGCTTGACCCGACAAGACACATTCGTGAGCATCCAAAGAGGACTTGCTGAATAGCAACACACACACACACACATACACACACACACACATCCACTCGAGGAACCGACCCATTGTTCTCCAGTTCATTGCCTGTTGCGTTTTGTCAGCGTCGGTATTTTAGGGGCGGATCCTCAAACACATCCGAAACGCGGGGAGGGGGGAGGGAAAACGTCCGGGGATCCTTCTGAGGCCTGGTGGTAGCGGAACTACTGGCGCGAGTGCGGGAACCAGCAAGTACAAGGCCGGGGATTGAAGTTGGGACGTGGTTGAAATCCCCACTTAACTTCTAAGACTTAAATTTTTGCTCCCCCTCTAACGTCAGCCAAGATGTGTTTCAGAGGTGCCGTAGAGAACGTGAGGCGGTATTTTGATTGATTTGGTTGGGGCTTCTCTACACCGTTGGCAACCGCGCTCCTTTCGCCCAGTCGCAGCCCAAATTCACCTTCGGTGGCGGCTCTCGATTTGTGGATGGCCTGGCACCCATTGCATCGCACGATGAGTTGACAGGCAACAGTTTCAGGTGTTTCCAGCGCTTGGGAGTTGTTTCCAGTTGTAGACCCTGTGGCCAGTCAAACTCCCATCTCTTTTCTCAAGAGGAGGCAGGTCCTAAGGACTCAGGACTATTCGGGTATGAACAATATCTAGGGACCCGGACAAGAGTGTGACGTGGTTCCATGTCGTGTTTTTTCAGCCAACGAGCTTTGAGGCATGGCAATTGTTGGAAGCGTCCCAGTTCATGCCGCTCGAGGCCCGCAAGAGCACAAGAAGCCTGGGCCCGGGGCGTGCCCTTTGGGCCCCAGTCGGCCGGCAGCGTCCAGGTGAGTGGATTCGGGGGTCAGAACATATGGCATGGGCACAGGTACCCTCCCACCAACTAAAATGGAAGTGCCAAAACGCCCTTTCCAAGAGGCTTGCATGTGGTTGTGGGTCAAAAATAGGTACCCCAAATGGAACCCTGGCAAGTGGACACATGGACCAAAACCTGTGGCCCCCTGGTGGTTTAATTTTGACCAATACCCATGTTAGCTGGTGGGAGGCTTGAATGGCATCGCAGGTACAACCCTCGAGATCCGCTGCTGACAGCTGGCCCCAAGGCACGGATGTGGGGCGGAGGTTGCCTGCAGGCAAGGGGAGGCAGCACGTTCAGAGCTTAAGGAGCCGCAGTCCCAGAAGGAGACCCGCATGGATCCATGCAACTGCTGGAGCATTATTTCTTGTTTTGACTGCCCCTCGGAACAACTACCAGACTACGGCAAACATAATCCACTTACTTTAAGCTTAAAACTTGTTCCAGTCAGTCAATGCCTCCTGTTGACTTCTGACTTCACCTGGAACATCAAGTTCATATCCAAGCCCCTCCCGGGCCCAAAAGCAACGCCACCTCGGGTTGAAGCCTCCGCAAACCCCCGGCCAGGTGAGCTTTGGTGGCGCCAGCGCGGGGCGCGGTCCGCCGCTGCCTGAGGCCTGGAGTGGAGGGCTGGATCCGACCTCTGAGAGGATCGAGTGTTCAAGTCGACGATGTCTTGGTGGGTAGGAAAAAGGTTGGGTTTGTTTGTTTGTTGGTTGGTTGGTTGGTTGGTTGGTTGGTTGGTTGAGTTTGTTTGTCTTTGTGTTTGCTTGTTTGTTTGTTGGTAGGTTGTTTGGTTTGGTTAGTTTGGTTGGGTTTGTTTGGTTGGGTTTGTTTGGTTGGGTTTGTTTGATTGTTTGTTTGTTTGTTTGCTTGTTTGTTTGTTGGTTGGTTGGTTGAATGGTTGGTTGGTTGGTTGGTTGGTTGGTTGGTTGGTTGGTTGGTTGGTTGGTTGGTTGGTTGGTTGGTTGGGTTTCTTTGTTTGCTTGTTTGCTTGTTTGCTTGTTGGCAGGTTGGTTGGTTGGGTTTGTTTGGTTGGGTTTGTTTGTTTGCTTGCTTGTTTGTTTGTTGGTAGGTTGGTTGGTTGAGTTTGATTGGTTGGGATTGTTTATTTGTTTGCTTGCTTGTTGTTTTTTCCCTTCTTTTTTGTTCATCTTTTGTGTTTTCTTCTTATGTGTGTTGCTTGTTTGCTTGCTTGCTTGCTTGTTTGTTTGTTTGTTTGCTTCTTTGTTTGTTTTTCTGGTTGTTTGTTTGCTTGTTTATGTATGTTTGTTTGTTTGTTTGTTTGTTTTGTTTGTTTGCTTGTTTATGTTTGTTTGTTTGTTTGTTTGTTTGTTTGTTTGTTTTGTTTGTTTGCTTGTTTATGGTTGTTTGTTTGTTTGTTTGTTTGTTTGCTTTGTTTGTTTGCTTGTTTGTTGGTTGGTTGGTTGGTTGGTTGGTTGGTTGGTGGTTTGTTTGCTTGCTTGCTTGCTTGCTTGCTTGCTTGCTTGCTTGCTTGCTTGCTTGCTTGCTTGCTTGCTTGCTTGCTTGCTTGCTTGCTTGCTTGCTTGCTTTTTTGTTTGTTTGTGTGTTTGTTTGTTTGTTGGTTTAGTTTGGCTTGGTTTAATTTAGTTTAGTTTGTTTTGTTTGCTTGCTTGCTTGTGTTTTTTGTTTGTGTGTTTGTTTGTTGTTTGTTTGTTTGTTTATTTGTTGGTTGGTTGGTTGGTTGGTTTGTTTGTTTGTTTGTTTGTTTGTGTTTGGTTGCTTGGTTTGGATGCGGGCGCTTCCACTCGGCTGCTGCTGGTAGCTGGTTGTTTGGTTGGGTGGGCGGGTGGGTTATGTTCCGTTGTTTTGCAATAGCTTGCTGATTGACATGGCCGGTTGTTGGTTGTCCCAAATATTCACTTGGTGGTCGACATGTTAATGTTTTTTTAGTTGTGGGCATTTGCCCCGGGTCAACTTTGTGAGACTTTGCTTCTTCTTTTCTTGGTGACCAGACTGTGACACAGAATCCCCTTCACAGGCCCTTCGAAGTGGCTTTTGAGGGCTTCCATGTTTTTGCCGCTGTGAGGGAGGGGAATCTTCCCCATTTGGACTCTGGAATCCGCATGATTTAGCATTCAACCTCCGGGCAAGTGAATCTTGCCTCAACAGTCCCAACCATAGGTGTGGCCGCCCTGTTGATTTTTCACCCCGCGGTTTTTGGTAGACCACTATACGTGGCTGTTGTTGGGAAGCTTTTTACATTTTTGCTTATCGTGGTTTGGTGGTTGAGATCCTCACTTAGCTGCTAAAGCTCAAATTTTTGCTCCCCTTCCAGCGTCAAACAAGTATACCTCCCGTGTCTTGATCACTCCCATGCGGCGTTTTTCTTTCGCCAGAACGCGCCTGGCCCTGGCGCCTACGAGCAGAGAAGTAGCCTGGGCAAGTCCAAGATGTTCACGGCCCGAGGGCGCCGGCCTCAGTTGAACTCGCACGTCTGGTTTTTGTTTGTTATACATATATGTGTATATATATATATATATGTGAAGAGGGCAAAGGTAGGCCCTGGGGGGGGGTGACCATATATATATATATATATATATTTATTCATGCTTTTTTGTTTAGCTCGTGGATTCCAAGAAATTGCCGCGCTCTTGTGGCACTGTCAAGATACAAGTGCACCCTTTTGTGGGGCTGGACGTCAAGGGGAGCCATGGGATGAAACCCCAAAAGGCCATGGGGTGAATGAAGTCTTCAAAGGAAGTGTTCCCGACCAAAGGTGCCCAGGTTTGAGTGAGTGAGACTCACTGGAGCTTAGCCCATGCCACATCATTCGTATGGGCTTGCCATTTTTGTGCCGCATGGATGGCCTGGGATTTGTGATAGGTGGCTGTACTGCTGACTGGCTGCCTTTGATGTCCATGTCCATCGTTTCATAGCCAAGTTGACGAAAACGAGAGCGAGCAGTGCTCCTCGCTTGAGGCGAACTGCCGGCTCCTACATGAGGAGCAGGTCTCAGCCCGGCGGGCGCCCGAGTGGAATCACTCGACTGGCCGGGCCGGGTGGGTGGGACTTGAGGTCCTGGCGCCTACGATCCCAAGGCGGGGGCGGTGCTCATGGGAATTCCAAAGCCAGGCCCCCAGGGCCCAGAGACATCCAGAGGTCGCCTCCCTCATTCCCTGAGCCCCTGCAGATGCCATTGGGCGAGAGAGATACTCCGTGGCCAAGGTGCGGTTTTGGTACATCAACCAGAACAGACATCACGGGAGCAGCTCGAAGCCTCTTTGGCCCTGGTCCCGGCGCGTGCCCTTGACTGTGGCCGTTCATGCCTGGTCTCAAGCGAGGAAGGATGCATTTGTTCAAAAACGCTGCAGTCGATGGACAAAAATCTAGGTTTCCTACCCACAGCATGGTATACAAACAAGTGTATGATGTTGCCTGGCGCTTTGGGCAGAATTCCGCTGGTCAGCACAGGTACGATATGCAACATGCCATGTCAGTGGGCAAGAACGGCCCGAAGTACTCTGCGACTTCTCGCCGACACGTGCATTGCTCAGTTCCGTGTCCCAGTGGAGCATGTGTCCCGCAGAAGCCTCGCATTCGCGTTGAGTGGCGTTTTTTTTTTTTTGGGGGGGGGAGCCCAACATACAGGTGTTCCTTTCAGCTTCCCTACCTTTTCTTTTTGAACATCACCCCAAAGGGAACCTCGCTTTCACCCGTCCAGGTGATGTTCAAAGCCAACCAAAGGACCAAAGGGGAAACAGAGGGAAACTTCAACACCAGCCCAAAGAGGGCTCCCCAATAAAGAGACACCCTTTCATGAGGTGCACGACCTGGACAGCTATGTCACGCCCGGCCCTGGCACCTACAACGCCCACACCACCAGCTTCATGGTGGAATAGCCGGTGCGGGGCCGAGCCCCGAGCCCCCAAGGAGATATGAGTCATGTGAGCGCCCTGGGCCCTAGTGGACCTTGTAGCTGCTTCTACCTTGTTTTGTTTTGGGGGTTGAGACGCAAGGCCCAGTCTAGACCTCATTTGCTTGTAGAACCAGCCGGCTATGTTTTGTTTTGGGCGCTCATGTGTGAACTGCGGAGGTACCCCATGCTTTCACCAGCAAGCTTGCGGAAGCAAATTTCCGTGCAGCGCTGGGGGCCTAGTGTGTCATCTTTGGCAGCTTCAGAAGCTTTCAAGATGGCTACTGTGTATGTACCTGCTTGCCAGACGTGTGTGACTCTGAATGCCAGGCTTCACCAAGTGAGAGCGCTTTGGCATAGAGGTGCGAGTGGGATAAACATCAAGCATGAATACTGATTGTTTTGTGCAGATTTTGATGCTAGTTCAGTTTTAATGTCAGATTGGGACTGTGCTGCGGTTTCAGCGCAGATCGCCCCTTTCGTCGGAGCACCGGCGCCTGTTTCTCGTAGTGTCACACTGTGCAGGGCAGCCATGCATTGGCATAGGCCTGCTGCAAACCACCCAAGCTGCATCAGCAGCACAGGCGTTGGGACGGGTCTCAAGCGGCCATGTAGGATGGAAGCAGTGCCTCTGCACAGCTCTCGTCAAGATGAGAGGCTGACGTGCAGGGCATATTTGTCTGGACAAAGAGGAGAGAGGCCTGGCGGACAAACCCTGCCCAGTTGAAAAGCGCTTCCAAGAAATGAATGCTCGATGCCAGTGCTTCAATGCGGTGAAATGACTGCTCACTACTCACCCCCAATGCTGATGGTCACATGAAACGCACATGTTGAAGCTAGTTTCATGTGATCCAACTTGTATGTCTCACCAAAGGCTAGGTTTGATTCACCTTTCAGTTGCGCACAAAGGCCCTGGTTTGGTTTTCCTTGCGGCGGGTTTGCCCTTCGCCCGGTTCTGCCGGCTCAATGCTCAGAAGTGTCGGCGTGAGCGTAGCTTGCCGCCATGGAGCCGGAGTTGAGGTGGGCTCGGGCAGTTCAGGGGGTTGACTTGGGAAGCTTTTGGGGTTGTCAAAATCGAGACCTTTTTCGGGTTGACAGCGTGAAACGCTGTGTTTTCCCTCTCTTTTTTTCTCGCACAATCAGGGGTGGGGCAGCAAGACGCAAAAACGACCAGTCTTTTTTGTTCTTTTAATGTGTTTCTGTTCACCTTACTCCCAAGAGTCCAACTGCTTTGTTCATGTTCCTGTGTCCGAGCCTTGGGCGCAGGTTCTTGGATTCGGCTCCTGCCAACTGCAAGGCGTGCGCTGGTTCGGGGGGTTCAAAAAAAACACACGCATGGCTTTGGAGAAGAAGCTTAAGCGACATAGCCACCAAATTTTGAGACATCGCCTTGACCTGATTTAGATCATGAATCATGACTCAAGTGAAGTCGAGGAGAAGCTGGTGGACTTGTATAAGCGCTTCAACTTCAGCGAGTCTGAGTATGAGTGCGAGCCTGAGATGTAGATACATTCAAGAACTTGGCGAACTTAGGAAGTTGGTCATGTGTGGGTTTATCTTGCTGGTGCTCAGCAGGGAATGAGTTGGAATGACTCCTAAAAACCATCCAACTGGTGGTTTCGTTGGGGACCAAAGCCTGGGTTCATTCCCGCATTCCCCTACTTATCGCACCAGCAAGTGGGCTCTCAACCTCCAGAAATTCCGCTTTGACGTGCAAACGCACAAAACCATAGGTGTCCTTTTTGGTTGGTTTGCTTAAAACATATTAAAGGGCCTTGGTTTGGATGGGGTTAATTTCCATTTACCGTGGAAACCGATCTATTTTTCCAAAAGGCCGCAAACGCGCGAAGCTTCGCGCCAGGTGCTTCCAGTTCAATCAGGGAGAGCTGACCCTGGCCAGGCTTCCAGCGCTGGGGCTCTCAGCTTGTCAAGGTGCCACTCCGGGAGTGGCGGAATGGACCGCGATCCGATGGTGTTTCGTTGCTCAGGGTACTTGCCTTCCATCTGCTTGAGAGTATTTCTTTTATTTTCCCCTGTTGGTTTTAAAGGGAATCTATCACTACTGGAAATAATTTGGACTTAAGCAAGTGGAAGTTTCTGGTCCCCTTAAAGGAAACCACCAGTTGGCCAGTTGGATTTTTTTTTTGGGGGGGGCATGCCATTTCTCATTTGTTGAGCACCAGCAAGGGTACCCCGGCTCATAATTTGTTCATCATCTTCAGGGCCAGCTTGCTTTCTTTCGAGAACCGCAAGCCATGTTGGAAAAACATGGGCAATCAGACAGGAAGCCCATCCAGCTCTTTCCCCTGCACAAATGCTGCAAGGTTTGAGACGTACTTGCAGAAGGAGAAGGAAAAGCGCGTGCCAAAGAAGCAGCCTGCCCGGCCAGGGTTGTGCAGATACTTCAATTAATCTCATTATTTGTAAACTCTCTCATGTGACAGTTTCAACTTGCCACTCAACGCTTGTGTTCTTTGTCAACGCGCAAGGTGCCCGAGTCATTTGCATGAGCTGATTGAACAAGTGGTAGAAACGACAACATTTTGCTGCTGGGCCCAGTTGATCATTTGTTGAATCAATTATTTATTCAGGTCGTTGCGCGGGAGACAGCCAAGTGCAAATCTATTGTGCTGTCCTGGCGCCGCCAGGCAACTTCTCAGAACTGCTCGTCCCTTTGGAGGCCAAGTAGTGTGTTGTTTGACGCGGAACAGGTGGCAGCAAAAAGGGCGGATTGGACTGCTTGAAGCATTTTCCCAGATGGAGCTCACACAGGATGATTCTCTCAGAATCCAACAAATCCCCTATGTCCGGTGGCGCAACCAGAGCCAGACCGGGGGCGCCTGATGGAATGTACCCTACGATCCACGCGTGCATTGACTGGTGCGACTGCTTTGCCAACAGTGCAGCCTTGAGCAAACTGGTGCATCCAGTCCCATGGATGTTTGGACACTTGTTGGTGCAAGTCACTTTTGTTCATGCAGCACCTGTGCCTGGCTCATCATTGGCAGGGGGATGTATATCCAAACATTCTTCAGGGTGTGCCCTAGTCAACTTCACGGCCACAGGGGAATTCATTAAGCCCGAATTCGGCTTGACATTCGGATTCGCCAAGTGCCGAGCAGGTGAGAATCTGAAGCGCCGGCCGCTGCAGGCACGGTCAGGAATGATTTGTTCGGATCAGGAGTAGTTCACCGAGGGACCCACAAGAAAAGGATCTTTGCCGTGAGGTTGCAATATGGCTGTGGGTCAGAACCAATTGTACCTGGGGTAGGTGCACCGCCCAATTTAGTGTATTTTAGTGGGGATTGGGATGTTCAGTGGGGGTACGGGCTTTTGACCCATGGCCATATTTTGTCCAGATTCCTGTGTGTGCGACGCGCGGAGAACATCAAGCAGCCATTGGAAGTAGTGTTGGGTTCTTAACTTGTGATCGGTTACCATTCGTTTTGAGTATGCCAGATAGAATATGTTGACATTGACCATTTAGCGGGCCAATTCGATTTGGGGAGTTGGCGCAGAAGTCCAACTTCGGCTGCCTCGATGTATGAGAATCTGCATCCAGAAGGCAGTCTCCAGAACCAAGGTCTAAGAAACTGTGCCCTTGTTGATTCCGAGTTTCAGGTACTATTACTACCGAAGGCGCCTTGATACCCCAACTATAAAACGGCGGGCAAGTGTGCCCTAAACAAGGTCGTGTTATGCAAACACTAATGGATCTAGTACCTTTACCGGGAACCGCTAAAGATACTCTTATCAACAAAGCAACAAGGGCTCTTCAATGTCCAGAAAGGGTGTCACAAGGCAAAGCTTAGTCAGAATTGTGTCGTTTCAACCTTCGCATAGGGTTTTTTTTCCACTGGCGGGTTTCTCCAAATTGACCCGGTTGTTGCCTGGTTTTCAAGGGAAAGCCTGGGAAAAGCACCACATCCCTCCAGCTCCACTTGGTGCCAGGTCAGCCCGCCTGTGGCCAAACGTCGGGAGACGGAGGAGGTCAAGGAAGGCCAGGGGTTGGGGTCGGACAGCCGAGTGGATTCTGATGGGTTTTGTGTGCCACTTGGCTGTGGGTCAAAAATTGGTAACCCCACAATGGAACCCTGGCAAATGAAAATATGGACTAAAACCAGTGGTCCAATTCCTGGCGGCTTAATTTTTTGAACCTCAGGCATTTTGCATCATGAGCAAGGGTTTGTGTTTGCTATTTTTGCCATCGGCTTGCTTGGGACAATGGCATTGTCTGGGCGCCATATCGTGGTTAGCCTTTGGTGAGTTGATCCGTCACCGGGTTAGCTGACCAAATAATTCGAATGCAATGAATTTGATGTTCCTACTGTGGATGGACGAACTCCTGCACCACCAAAGAACACGCTGGAATGATTCGATCCCCCTGCAAATAGCGACAAACCTTCTGGTTTCCACCATGGGTTTCATTTCGCGGTGCCTGCCCAGGCCCACCCGTTGCGAAGAGTCACCAGGCGGGGGGCGGGCGGGGATGTCGTCAAGTGGAGGGGGGATTTTTGAACAATCCATAGTTCCATGAAGTTCCACCGGTCCTTTTTGAGCAAACGGAACTGACAGAACTCGCGTTCTCGGGTTTAGATAGTTGGGCTCTAGGGTCTAGGGGTTGGCTTCTGCTGGAGAAGCATAGCGGCCATGGAGCTGAAAGTCTGCGCGAGCCTGAAGAGGGGTGGACACCTAGGTTGCCTTCGGCAGACCTGAAACTATGTTGCTGAGGGTCGGGAAGGTCGCCGCGGGCGGTGTGGCGGTGTGCGGGGAAGAAATACAGTTTGACCAATTCGTTTGCTGCTGACTGGCCCCACTGCAACCTTTTCAAGCACATGAACCAAGTCATGAGCGAAGCAGAAGGCAGCTTCCAAAAGCTTTGACCCCCATCCCCAAACGTATGAAGAAGGCCTGTGTTTGACACGTGTCCTTTGTGGCTCAAACAAAAGGAGTCGCTGAAGCTGTCTTCGCTGTGTGACTGAATGGATGGTGAAGTGTTCAGCGGCAACGTCAAGACAGACATGTCATGCCGATAAATGAGTGGAACAGGCATCTCGTTGCTGGGTGAGGGTCCTGCATGTACCATCAATTGCCGGACCATTCCCGCCCTTCACTCTATTGGGAACGAAAGCAGGGCGCGAAACTCAGACGCTCCAAAGGCTTGGTTGCCTTCCGAAGCATGCACAGGACCCCCTCCAAGGTCGCCTTCCTCCAGAGGATTGATAGGGTATAGGTCAAAATGAAACCACCAGGAATTGGACCGCAGGTTTCAGTCCTTGTTTTCATGTACCAAGGCAACCCATTTTAGGGTCGCCCTATTTTTGACCCACACCCGGGCACGGAGACTTGCCCAGATCTCCGTGAAGAATAGCATCAACACGGGGAAGCTGGAAAAGCGGCAGCTGTTGGGAGGCCCAGGCTTCGTTTGGTAGACCCAAGTTTGTTTTTTAGGGCGGACGTGTTTCTGGTATGTTCTGATTGCCGGTTATTTGGGGAAAACAAAACACGTTCAACATGATTCACAGGCTGTTCAAGGGATGGATGATAAGTTGATTTTTTGGCAGGGCTGATGATTCTGAGGAGCTGCCCAAGATCTTTGGGAGCTTGTCATGTCTTCTTCCAATCCGATACCCTCCCTCCAGCTCTCTCTTCAGCCCATCTCCGAAGCCTGGTGATCAAATTGTAGCGATCTGCAAAGTGAGCAATAACAACTCACCCCATGTTGTTGTTTTTCGAAGCTGGATGAAAGCAAACTAAGCTGGTGAGTTGTCATTGACTCGCCAGACATCATGTCAGCTTTCATGAAGCCGCAGGGGAGAGGATGCGGGGCCAACTTAGACAAACAAAGATGAAGGCTCTGGATTCGTGTGACCCCAAACAACTTCATGTGCGAGGGAATCAAGCAAAGCACTTAATCGCATTCGCCGGGCTGCTATAGATTGCTAATCATGAAGAGTTCAAGCTGGCTAACTATGAATTTCGGTGGACAAGAGAAGCCTGTTTCGGAATCTGATCACTGAGGTCCCGGACTGCCAACGTGAAGCTACTGGGCCAACATTTCTGGGTAGGCGAGGGGTGTGCAGTGAATGAGAGCCTGTGGGGAACGTTGATACCTCGGCACGGGTGCCAACTGGACAGCTTGCCATTTTATACGGAACCAAGGATCGACATATGCCATATGGTCCAAAAAGGTGGGGTTACCCCAGTCAAAGCCTTCGGTGCTTTGGCTGGAGGTCTACAATTGAATCCCGAAAATTTGACAATGAACAAGGACACATCTTGGCGTCCCGATCTAGACTTACAGAGGAGAATCCCGTCTGCCGAAAACTGAGGCGTGGTGACCGGCCATTTATGTGCTTGAATTGAGTTGTCGAATGTTATCGAAAGCTACGAGATGACTCCTCAGACCGGCAGCTTACATCGTGGACATACAGGAACAACTGAATATCAACGTGTTTCATTCAGACAGACAGACAGCAGACAGATAGACACACAGACACACAGACACACAGACACACAAGACACACAAGACACACAAGACACACAAGACACACAAGACAGACAAGACACACAAGACACACAAGACA